TCTCTCTCTCTCTCTCTCTCTCTCTCTCTCTCTCTCTGTCTCTCAAGAATAAGTGTAAGAATTCTGGTGCATCACCAGCGACGAAAGAACATCTCTTCCCGGTTTCTTCCGACGTCGCGTTCGTCGCTTTCTTGCATTACAAGATTCGCTACATCTGGCGCGCGCGCGCTGATTGATCGCGAAAAGATTCGTTCAAGAGTGTTTTAGCAAAGGTGGTATTCCCCTTTTTGCCAATGCTTTTGCGAATCAAGCAAAGATCTGGAGAGCAGGCAAGCACTCTGCGCTTCTTCCCATAGTAATTCCATCTCCAGTAGGAGGATGCCGGTTATTGAAACGCATTTTTCGAGCCATCGTTTCCTAGAATTCGGACAGTTTCCTTCGGAAATTTCCAACTAGTGGAAAAAGGGAGGAAAAACGTTCGCCCATTGCGAAGCTAAATTAATCGAAGCTAAATTTAATCGCAGTTGAGAAGGATTGATACGATACTATTGCGAGAGGCAAGAGGGACGAAGTAGTGCTGAGACTGCGCAAACAAGTGCTGTATTATTTATCGCAGTTTCTCTCGCAGATTCGTAGAGAATGAGAGTGGAGGAAACACTTTTGAAAACGAGGCTGCGCCACAAATGACGGCGGTACAGTTGAAGAAGGGACTTGGTTCCACTCAAATTTCTACTCCACTTACGGTTTAAGGAAGCCAGCCAGCCAGCAGTCGGCTGAAGGTGGAGGCAGGCACCTGCTCTTACCGTGCTTAACGCGAGGTGTGCGCGTAATTACGAGGATGTAATCTACGCTATGTATGTACGGCGAAACTTCAATCGTTATAACCGAGTTGTCTCGCAAGTCAGCCAACTGCTTAAAACAGTCTCAACGAATACATACGTCGCGTCGCCGAGGTGAGACGACAGAAGACGGGCTGCTGAAGAGCGAGAGCCGTGCCTCGCTCGCTCGCTCTCTCTCTCTCTCTCTCTCTCTCTCTCGTCCTCTCGTCTCTCTCCTTATCCTTTATCTCTGCCACGTGACGGGTTCAGTGACAGGCAGACACGTGCCCGAGCGCGTAAGTTTGCCGGTGTCACGAGTGAATTATGAAACTTGGCTTTATTCCATAAATTAATTATCGATTCGCCTCGAGCCGAATACCGTGCACTTCTATCGAGTGCACGTTGATAAATATTCGGGTTAATCGTAATGCCGCGACACGGTGCCGTACCACCATGTTGTTTGATCGATCGTCTAAGTTCGTCTCCTCGCGTGGTTCCAAACGCGGACCAGCTGCCCTGTAATCGGCCTTTAAACGACCGTTCATCTCGACGATGCGGTCCGCGCGCCATTCAACGAGGCTATTCTTTCGTTCCTCGAAAGAATTGCCGATTCCCTAGGGAAGATGCCGCTGTGCTGCTTCATCTGGTTTTACTGGTTTGACCTCTCCGTTTATCTCTCCGCTAATATCCAACGCGTGGAAAGTCGTGGAAAGAACGCGCAGGATCGTTGAAAACGTGTCGTGGTGCTGCGCGTTCAACTAAAGCTACGAAGATTCCTACCAAGAAATTTATTATCGCAACTCTGTGAATATTAATAATTAAACAGACTGTCTCCCATTAAACGTATCGCGAAGCGAGCAAGCCAA